CTTGCAGTTTACTTGTTGAAGACACACATTTGCACCCATCTAGAATAAATTGCAAGGTAATAGCTAAATGAGCACAGAAACTTGGGCTTGGCCCTTTCTACAGGAATGAATTTCAGCCTCAGTGCATTACAAGGCTCACACTGTTTGCCACTACAGTGGCAATTGTTACACTTATGTGTAAATAACCCTCTGATTTTTCAATGATCATTTAATTTGGTAGAACCACAAGGAGCTTTAATGGGGGCGGGCTGCAGAGTTATCTCACATTTTACAGAAGCAATCTTGATACCAAAACCACACTTTTTTTGGGAAAAACACTAAGCTGCATACTCATGTTAGTTACATAAAAACTATGAAATACAGATGGCGTTTAATTATATGACAGTAATATTACTGGGGAAGAAGAAAATTTTTTTGTAACTCATTTCTCTTAGCCCTCAATAACAAGATTAGCAAATTCTTCCCCCACTGTCATCTTAAAAAAAAAAATAAAAGGGCAATGTAGAAACAGGAGTCTGCCTGGTCCAACTTAAAGTCTGTTCTTGTTGCGTAAGAATGGCAACAGCTTAATGATTGTTTGTGATCATCACCTTTGTATAATGGAGGCTAGCACACTCTGAAATAGGAAACAAACTCTAACCAAGGAAAAAGGGAAAGAAAATTCCTTTTTAAGTTACTTTCGATATTTCTGGGCCAGTTCTTGCCACTCTTATTTATGAGAGTGACTCCATGATCTCATACATGGGAACAGACCTTGCAAGGGATTGCTCAGGTGAGTAAAGGTTGGGCCAGATCATGTTGTTCAACGGCCACCATATTTCAAACCACATCATTGACGACAAAAGCGGCAGCACTTTTTCAACTTCTTTTGCTCCTTTTTTGCTCTGGAACTTCTCTCCACCCCGCGCAAGCACAGCCACAGCTCTCAGAAAGTACTCGCCCTCAGCCACAAATGCTTCTAAGTAGCTTCCTCAGCTTGCTTATTTATCAGGAATCAGGAGTGCTTTATGCTTTCCAGCTTGGGCTCTTAGAGAAAGAAAATGTCAAAAGTGGTAGCGCAGCAACAGATGAACCACAAGTGAAACAACAGGCTGATGCCAGCATCACCAGGAACTAATAAACTTCTGATTTAGCTCTAATTGTAGGTGCGACTACACATTTTCTTGTACTCGCTGCAGTACTTTTGTTTTTTCATTTGAAAGGGTCTTTTGGTAACCATGAAACACTCCCAGTCTGGCTTCCTGTATTAGAAAACAAAGTGTAATGTGGTATCAAAGCATGCAGTTGTTGCACAACAATGTTGCAGGGTTTCTTAGGTCTGGTTGTGTTACAGACCATCATTCACCACCTCAATTCATCTGTTATAGAAAGGTTAAACTCGAGTTACTGCAGACCACTACGTGATACCATTAGAAAGCTCTCAGGCTGATCTTCCTGGCCACACTTTCATTAGCGATGGCCAGAATCCACATTTTCTTTGAGTGAGAAATTCCACTTTAAAACACAGGTGTCCTTACACATAAGCCTACAGCTAGAACCAACAGCTCGATTTGGCTTGTAGCGCAACATGCAACAAGGCAAAAGACCTGGGCTCAAGAGTACTGGTACTCCTCAGGCTGGTGAGGAGGAAGGTTAGCTAGCGCTGCATCAGCAGGAGCACCTCCAAGCAGTCACGGTGTTTTGCCACCATGAAACTATTGTATACTGAGGGAAGGGACTTTTCAGGGGATAAAACGGCAGCCCAGAACGCAGGGGCAGGCGAGACTGACCTGTGATCCCGACTCCCTGTTTGGGGGTGGTCAGAACCCCCTGGGCTTATGCCTTGGGCCGGGATTTGGTGGGCGAGAGAAAGCCCAGGCTCAGATGCATGGGTTACCCTGCTGCAAAAAGACAATATATAATAGAAAGTCTAAGCCAAAGATGTTTGTATCAGTTATAACAACGAGGAAGACAAAGGCTTATAGGAAAAGCAGTGCAAATTAACAAAGGTCGCTATTTGGCAAAATGCACGTTCCCTGGGACCTGTTTTAACACAAGCTCCCAATTAAACAGTCAGCTTATTCAGAAAACTCTCATTATCATCCCTGGATAAGTCAAATTGCTTTTAATAGAAAACTTGTTTTATCAGGCCATTTCACATTAACCCTATTTCTGAAAAAAGATGCAGAAACATTTGGGCTGTTGGCATTCCGTGTGAACTGAACCATCTACCATTAGTAAAGAACACAAATTTTGGTTTAAAACATCTAGAAACAGTTTAAAACGTCCCCAAAGAGCTTCAGCAGTCTCCGTAGAGCTATACCCTTAGCAGAAGCTTTGTTTACGTGTCCATTAGGTACAAGGGGCCGCACAAAGGTGCAAGCAGTACATTTTTCAGGAACTGCTCCATGTGCTTGCAACCCTCCTGTAGTCAGTGCTGCTCGTGAGGGCTGCAGAGCCCAAACCTTGCTCAGTGCTCAAGAAATTCTGCTTAAATGATTAATGGCACAAGTCTCTATCCAGTACTTGGCTGTATACAAAAACACCCTTATGCATAATGTGCAGTTACTGCAGACTCATGCGTGTGTTACTAGTACACACCTGCTTAGAAAATAAATTGAATTCTGCACAAGGTGTAGCACGAATGAGCCCCATTTTCTAGTGTGCAACTACACTGTCTCTACTACTAACAGGAAACCAGTAGTGTTACCCATTTTTTTCCATCTCAACAACTACACCTCATTGGACTCCCACGGGCCACACAGGTGGACTTTCCAAATGCCACCCACCATTTCAGAACAGATTTCTATATTCTTCTATATTTCCCAGAGAAGGTAAGAAGGTAAATTTGTCTGGAAAAAGCCTCCATGTATTCTGAGGCATCTTCAAAGCAGCTGGCATTGCTTTTTTCTTCCTAAATGAGTAAATGTTGGCCATGGTTAGATCATTCTCAGTCAGTTTTCTCTGCTTGCAAAGAAGTTATCTCTCTAACCAGAGCTGCTGTGTGCCCTTGGCAAGTCTCTCTGTTCCTCACCGAACTGACAGAGCACATTGATCATTCAGTGGGAGCTCTCTCTCCAGGGGTGACATGCTTGCCAAGGACACTCAGACAAGCCATGTGGTCCCATGCAGTCCAGGATAGACCCCATCTGGAGAAAGAGCATTTTCCTGCCCAGCAGGCCTCTCCCACGAACACACACACTGTACTTCATCCCTAACAGGCTGCTGCAGAGCCCTTGAGAAGTCCAAGCCTCCTCCCTCTAGCACCAGGGCTGCTGCTGGGTTGAGAGACCGTAACGAGCAGCAAGAAGGAAAGCAGAGAATTAGGTGGAAATTCAGGGGCACCTTTAAAAGAGAAAAATTACAGAGAAAAAGATTTCCAACTCACACTCTCTCTGTCTAGCCACTTATTTAGTGCTCCAAAGATCTCAGAGCAAATGTATAATATACCAGCTGAACAGCACAGAGGAAAAAATATGTCCATAGGGTTTTTTACTTTTACTGAAAACAATAATCTTCCCATGCAGTTACGTTCACTCTAGGCTAAAAAGAGCTGATCTGGTTTCATTCTTTATAGACCAATTCAGTCCCAGTGTACACCTCTGTTGAATGATAGAATAATGGTATCATTAATTTAAACTTTTTTTTAAAAAAAAAAAAACAAACTTTGTTTAAGAAATACAATTGGAAAATGAAGGAAATCGCAGGACAAGTTTCTAAAGAAGAATGTGCAATCTCAATGTATTCTTGGCAGTTTTGTCAGACTAATTTTGCTTTTATCAAATTGTCTCATGCAAGGAGAAAAGAAAATGCTTAAAATAACGTTTCAGTAAGAGTTTATTGGCACAAAGACCAAGAGCACAGGGGCACTTGACAGATAAACTCCTCCAAGGGATTTAGGGCTAAAATTTCTGGTTCCACATTGCCATTTTGACCATGCAATGTTATAATTGCAATGTGCATCAAACTATTACTTCTGTAACTTGTAACAGAGGGTCTTCTCTATGAACCTTTCTGAGCCTACTCACCTCAAGACAGTGCACTGCAGGTGGAAGAAAACGTTCAGAACAAACTCAAAACCCCCAAACCAAACAAAGCAGGGCCCAGAGAGGAGTTAGCATTATTAGTTGCCAGCAGGGTTGGTATAAAGCCCATTTGCCCACAGAGATGCAAAGTTAGTGCTAATGATACAGGAAAAGGGCATTATCATCACCACCATGGTCAAAGATGGGGCCATTCCCATGTGGCCTAAGTGCTGTAAGAGCAGGCCAGTGCTTGGCAAGCCCAGAGATTATGTTTCCAGCCATTCACCCACCATTTAATCACGACAGGAGCCTGAACCAGCAGGCTTAAGTACATGAGAAA